GCCAGACTATCTGATTCGGTCCCCTGATTTTGATAAAGTGGTGCCAGCACACATAATCTACTGTACTGTGTCATGATGTACAGTACCACCCCGAAAACATAAAGAATGCCTAAACAAAACATGTCTAAGCATTTTTTATGCAGTAAAATGTAGCCCAAAGTAATTGAAAGTTAAGAAATGTTTCCTACAAAAACAAATAAAAGTAATCATCATAAGATAGATCATTGCAGTATATTAGTATGTTTAAATAATAATACAATTTCATTTAATATAGCACATTTCAAGATAAATATCATAGAGTCAAGTCAACTTTATTTGTATAGCACATTTGAAAGATATCAAGTGTCAGCCAAAGTGCTGAAAAGAAGAACAAAGTAGTTAAAATAAAATAAAAGATTAAAATGAATTATCTCAAAACATTACCAAAAGTCCATATACACGCACACATACCTATAGAAACATATATAGCATATACATGTGCAGTATCTCAGCTGTCCTGGACAGAGATCTTGGATGTTGTTCCTGGGATCTGCTGGAGCCACTCGCCCAGCTTGAGGGTCACTGTACCGAGTGCTGCGATTACCACTGGGACTACTTTTGCCTTCACCCTCCACATATTCTCGAGCCCTTTTTTTTAGCCCTTTGTACTTCTCAAGCTCATGTTCCTTCTTCCTCTGTTTCTCTGAATCACTACATCTATTACTACAGCCGACTTCCTCTGCTTGTCCACTTCTACTATCTTTGGTTGGTTAGCCATCACCAGTTTTTTTGTCTGTATCTGGAAGTCCCACAGGATCTTAGCTCGGTCATTCTCGCCCACCCTGTGGGGTTTGTCCTATTTTGACCTCGTCTTTACGCAGCCTGCATCTTGGGTCTTGCCTGGTGTGGTAGACCCCAGCCTCTACGGATCTTGTACTTAGAGCTTGTTACTGTGCCGCCATGGTCAGTTCCTCTGTGCTGTCTTTCAGTCCAGCTTTGTCCACCCACTGGTAGGATTTATGGATGTCAGCCACTTCTATCTACCGGTGGTACATACTGTGCAGGGGCCTTTCATTCCATGATGGTTCCTCCTCTTGGTCCTTTTCTTACTCTGCTTTCTGCTGCCTGAGGTATTCACTAAGCACGCAGTCGTTTGGGGCCATCTTCCTGATGCACTCATGGATGTTTGATATCTCATTCTGGACAGGTGTTCTGACACTCACCAGTCCTTTAACGCCTGACACAAGCTTCAGTGTGGTACTGAGGGAGATTACTGGCCGGTAGTTTGATGAGACCGGTCCTTTCTGGGGATACTTGGGGGGAATACTGGGGATCTGGCAGTTGGTTCATTTGTGCTGCCAGATGCTCATGGAGTGCAGTCAGCTTCTTCAGCCAGTAGGCATAAATCATGACCAGTTCTTTATAGTGGAGAACCTTTCTTGGATGTCTTGGCTGTCTGGATCCTGGCTCAGGGGGTTGGGAAGCGTATCTGTAACCGGAAGGTCGCCAGTTCGATCCCTGGGCTCTCTGTCCTGGTCGTTGTGTCCTTGGGCAAGACACTTTACC